AGAAGAAGAAGAACTCACAGAAGAAGAAGAAGAAGAAGAAGAACTCACAGAAGAAGAAGAAGAACTCACAGAAGAAGAAGAAGAAGAAGAAGAAGAAGAACTCACAGAAGAAGAAGAAGAAGAAGAAGAANAAAGATACAAGAACATGAGGATCTTCAAGTGGAAGCAGATGAGGGAGAAGAAGGAACTCTTGTACTAGGTCGTGGTGTAGAAGAGGTAGCTGAACAAAGGTGGAAGAACAAGGTGGAAGAACAAGATGAACTATATGCTGAGAAGAAGCACGAGGACTCCCATGAACAGACAGGAGATGAAGGCGCAGCACAAGAACTACAGCAGCCAGGTGGAGATGAAGCCGCACAAAAAAGCCGCGATGCAGCTGCTGGAGAACACGAAGATGACCAACAGCTACTTCTACTTCGAGAAGAACAACACGAAGATGACCAACACTTGCCAGAAGTTGACGATGAACAACAGCTACTTCCGGAAGAACAACACGATGAACAACAGCTACTACTTCGAGAAGAACAACACGAAGATGACCAACAGCTTTCAGAAATAGAAGAGGACGATGACGATGAAGCACTAGCTCCCTCTCATCTACATCAAACCCCACCTCATCAACGCTCCTCTGCCTTCAAGCAGGATTGCTTCCAAACGCCACCTCCTAGGCGAGCGCTATTTCTAGATCATGAAGAAGCAGAACTTCATCTAAATGAACAACTTGACGGGCTAGAAGCAGAAAAAGAAGTACGAGAAAAACAAAGATATGATGATGAGAACTACTCTCATGTGAAGCGAGCGTTGTTCCAGGAGGACGATGAAGAAGAACTCACAGACGAAGAAGAAGAAGAAGGAGAAGAAGGAGAAGAAGAAGAACTCACAGAAGAAGAAGAAGAAGAAGAACTCACAGAAGAAGAAGAAGAACTCACAGAAGAAGAAGAAGAAGAAGAAGAAGAAGAACTCACAGAAGAAGAAGAAGAAGAAGAAGAAGAAGAACTAGCAGAAGAAGAAGAAGAAGAAGAAGAAGAACTCACAGATGAAGAAGAAGAACTCACAGAAGAAGCACTACCAAGAGCGCTACAAGGAGGAGCGCGACAACTACAACGGCAGCGCTTAAAAGGAGCGCGACAACTACAACGGCAGCGCTTAAACGAGAACAAGAAAGCTGGACTACTTCATCTATCAGGGGGGGAGCAATTACTTCTTCCACCATCTACTCCGCGTTCCTCTTCCTCGATCAAACAATCTAGAAGTGACTACTACTTTGATTACAGCAACTCTGCTTTGGAGGAAGATCCTGCTCGTCAGGACAACTATTACAGCAACTCTGCGTCGAAGGGTCCTGAGCAGGACAACTATTACAGCAACTCTGCTTCGAAGGATCCTGCTCTTACTCAGAAGAAGTATTACTCTGCTCTTGCTCAGAACAACAGGAGCTCCTGTGCTTCGAAGTATCCTCCTCTTGACAACTATTACGGGAGCCCCTCTGCTTTGGAGCAAAATCCTGCTCAACAGGACAACTATAATTCCAGCAACTCTGCTTTGCCTTTGGAGGGTCCACCTGAGCAGGACAACTATTACAGCTCTGCTTTGGAGCAAGAAGGCCATTACTCGGCAGCTTTGGAGGAAGGCAGAGAATATTGCTATGCTTCTCAAGGACCTCCTGCTCGTCCAGCAGGCTTTCAACTACCTCGACCAAAACAAGGAAAACACACGAGAACTGCGGGTGCTGCCGGAATTGCACTCCCTGGAAGAAGTGCTTCTCCTGTTTTCAAGTATTGTTCCCAAGATGAAGCTGGAACCCAAGATGAAGATGGAAAGCAACAACAAGAGTCTCGACGTCGTGAATGTGCCCCCGGCGGTGTCGGTTCCGCTGGTGGTGCTCGTACTGGTACAACTGCTTCAAGAAGTGGAACAAGTTCTTCAACATGTAGAACTACTTCGTGGATCCCGCCTGTATGTAGCTCCCTGCAATGGATCTCGCCTGTGGATCCTGCGAGGATCCTTCCCGAAGTTCCACCATTGCCCAACCTACCCGAAGTTCCACCATTGCCCAACCTAGACGAAGCTGCACCATTGCCCAAACGAGACGAAGCTGCACCATTGCCCAACCTACCCGAAGTTCCACCATTGCCCAACCTACCCGAAGTTCCACCATTGCCTTAAGACCACTCCAATGGACAGAGAACGACGACAAGACCGGCGTTATTCGTCACATGGAAAAACAGGACCGCGGGAACGACCTCAGCTTCAACATCGAGGACACAAGGCGTACCGGTACGATCGAAGCGGATTCCTAGAACGACCTCAGCTTCAACATCAAGGACACACGTCGTACAGGGCGGGGTACGATCTTGGAATAAACATGCAAGCGTCCGAGATGATCAAAAAAACGCCTCTACTAGGAGAACGTCGAGACCGCCATCCTCTCCAAGAACCGCGACTCGTAGAGGATGTGCCGCGACCTACTACAACAGGAGAAAATGGGAATTTCGATGTTCCTTCTGATGAAGTAGAAGATGCAGAGTTGATGTTGAGGATCATTTAACCGTTCTGGCGGCACTTATCTGACGCTACTTAATTCGATGCTTGAAGAGGATACTATAGCAGAGTACTAGTTGCAACAACAAGAACAAGGTGAACAAGAACTGGAGCAAGTAGGTCAACTAGATGAGTTGCAACAAGAACTACAAGGTTTTCACAAAGCACAGCAGCTGGAGCAAGTAGGTCTTTTAGAGGCATCACACCAAGGAGGTTTTGCCCGAGGACACGAAGACGATACGCTTGCTCCTAAAGAGCACGGTCTTAAAGAGCAGGATGATGCAGCTAAAGAACAAGATATTACTAAAGAACAAGATATTTTTTTACTCGAAGATGAAGATAAAAAGCACGGTCTTCACGAGCAGGAAGATGCAGCAGCTTCTTTTAGTCCTTAGAAGCATCAGAAGAAGAGAGACAGGGGACAGGTCCAACGAAGAAGATGCCATTGACAGAACAACAACAACTGCTGCTCCTCCACGAGCCTCTCCTCCTCTCCACCTCCACGTAGATCCAACACTCCACCTCCGTCTAGAAGTACTCCATCATCGGCACGTATCAGAACGGGAAAAACCACAAGGGCACAACGACGGCGAAAACTACTAGAAGAGGAGGATCAAAAAATGACGATTTGCGACGTGCGTTGCCGTTGTAAGAACAGCACAACAAGAACATGTAATCTTCTACTTTGGAAGAAGAACTACGCAGTCGAGATATTAAGTATATATGTTGGTCTTCCTGATCCACCTCTTCGAACTCCTGTTACAAGACACAGCCCACTTCTTTATAGGATACAATATAGAAGTAGAACTTGCCTATATCATCTTCTTGTTGACGTGGCAGAGTGAAGTAAGTAGTTGCTTGTTTATTATATCTTGAAGCAGAGTTGTTCGAGTTGTCCTCGTGGTCCTATTCCTCTTCTTGCTGGTGTATTTTCTCCAACCCGTAGCAGAGTTCTCGTGGTCCTATTCCTCTTCTTGCTGGTGTATTATAATCTCCTCCAACCTGGTGGCAAAGATGGAGTTTTCTTTTTTCTAGTTAGGTCTGCTCCGCCACAAATATACATCACAATGAAAATAATGAACCAACAAAATTCAGAATTATCAGATTGCTATTGAACTTACTCCAGCTCCACCATTACATAGTGTCGTCCCCCGAAAACGAAACCCAAACACGACGTGAAGAAGAGCCCCTTCTTGTGACGATGTAAAGGTTGAAGCAAAAAGATTATTTCTGACCCCAGATCTTCTATTGTATACAACGGACGACATTAATTTTAGCAGTCGTCACATCAGACGCACATACTAGATAGGTCTATTAATCGTCCCACCACGTAACACGTTCTAAAAACACGAAAAATTTTTTATGAAATAAAGCAAGATGAAGAACTATGACTAGTAATATGTACTAACAAGAAGAAGATGAATGTTGTCTACTAGCTGATCATGAAGCAAGATGAAAGCAAACATAAGAATGTACTACTACGTTCTACCCCACCAAGATGAAGATGAAAAGACTTTTCCACCACATGATACTCGTCCTTCACATCAGGCACACAATACTCTTTCCTTCACATCAGGCTAAAGATGTCTGTCTGCAAGATGGCAGGCTCCAGAACAAGATTCACCGTAATAATTGTTGTGAGTTCTATTTCAAAAGTATGTTGAATGGGTGATGGAGGACCGTGTCAGAAGTGTCGTGAAGCTTCTTGCTAAGTGAACAGGGGAGCAGTTGTACATCTTCAAGAATGTCTTCGAATTTTGTCCGGCTACAGCTAAATCCATGGTTCATCTTTTGCATTTACGATCATCAATATGTGCTGCGCAAGATCCACACTGTCAACATCGGGTCGCAAATCATCGGAGGATCTTCATCTCATTTACTTAAGTCTATCTTCCTCTCCCTCTGATCCTAGCTGGTCTAGCGTGCTGGAACAAGTCGTGTGAAGAAATCACGAAGATGATCATGTGGTCTGCAGTCGTGGATGTTCGTGATGTGAACATCAAAGTACATGATCAAGCCTGGAAGATGATGATATCATGGGCGGGTGAGGCGTAAACGTAAAAATATTGATGTCATATTAGATAAGTATCAATATCTTTAATTATTCACAGGAGGACGACCAGTTGTATTTCCATCCCGGGACGACCAAAGTGTAGTTCTTAGAGGTCATTTCCTTGCACGACGTGAGCGTGACCACCACTACTAAAGAATAGATCTAAGAATCTTTTTAAGTAGATACTTGTTCTGGTGATATTAGTTTTAGGTACTTGTTCTTTTTTCATCCAACTCCAAGAAAGTGATGGCAAGTGTTGAGGAGATAGAGGCTGTGAATAACGAGCTCGAAGAGGGCTCGCTGCTTCCAGACACTGCTGAAGCTGAAGGCGGTGCGAAGAAAAACAAGAAGAAGAAGAGAAAGAAAAACAACAAATCTCAAGTAGTCGCTTCACCTTCTTTTGTGGAACATGGTCCGGGAGTGAAGCTTATCGTAGTGAACAAGAACTCCAAATGCAATAAATCTTCCGAGAAAGGTCAAACTTCCGAGAAGGATCAAACTTCCTCTACTAGCACTCTGGAATTCGACGAATGGGCGCGCAATGCTCTTGGCGACACACTTCTTCAGTCTGCAGAGGATGCAGCCAAGACGGCTTGGGAAGCACCAGGTCGAATAAAACGGCGCCAGAAAACCTACGTTTTTTCCGGAGAGCTGAGGCCCGCAACGGTGACCCAGCAGTCGCGGGTCTTTCACGAGAAATATCCTAACATAGAGCGACCCGATTACGCTGATCATCCTGAGGGCCACTGCCTCAGCGAACAAGCGTGGCCCGAGAACAGGATACACGTGTACGAGGGGTCGGAGTTGGAAATAATGCGAGAGGCGTGTCGGATTGGGAGAGAAGTTCTAGACATCACGTCGAGGTACGCCTACGAAGGCGTCACGGGAGACCAGCTAGACAAAATCCTAACACAAGCCTGCATCGATCGAGAAGTCTACCCCTCGCCATTAAACTACTACCGCTTCCCGAAAAGCGTTTGCACATCGGTGAATTTAAGGTCCCCGCTTGGTCTTTTCACATTATATCACAGAACTAGTTCTTGTACCAAGTAAAAGTCTGCATTATTTAATGCTTATAAAATATGATCTACTCCTGATAGAAGGTAGATGAATTGCGTGCCGTTTTTAAGAACATCATGATAGAAGTGATGGTTTCTGCTTGTTGTGTAGGATCATTTGTTCAAGTGACTTCAAACTCTCGTGGACCACTAGTCTAGTGACTGGAACCTCTTCTAATCCTCGAAGTAATTTGCCACGGCATCCCTGATATGCGGCCTTTGCGAGCCGGCGATATCGTGAATTTGGACGTGTCGATTTATCACAAAGGCTTCCATTCCGATCTAAATGAGACCTTTTTCGTCGGAAAACCTCCGCGGGAAGAAAGTAGTGGAGGACAAGCACCCGCTCAAGCGCAAGGACAAGCACTTCAAGCAGAAGCAGAAGCTGTTGGAGGAGATGTTGAGATGAAAGTTGTCGAAGATTCAACTTCAACATCACCTGTTCTAGATCTAGTAGGTGATGAGAACATAACTTTAAGGCTGTGTGTACCTAATAGACATCTTTGGACGCTGCTGCATCCTTGATGAAGAAATGTATGGACGAGGAGTATCGTCCTAAGGGAATACATCCCCGTACTCTTCAACAAGGATGCACTTGAAAGATGAACTACCGTAAACAGCTCTAATTCTAATAACTACAACAAGTACAACAACTCTCCAGCAAGAAGCTCCTACAGTATGGACGGGAGACACAGAAAGAGTGGTGCGAACGGCTTACGAGAGTTTGGTGGCGGCAGCGAAGATGATAAAACCGGGTTGTCTCTATCGCAGTGTTGGAGGAACGATACAGAAAGTCGCGGAAGGAAACGGATGCAGTGTGGTGACTAGCTATTGCGGTCACGGAGTTGGCAAATTATTCCACGGTCCGCCACAGGTACTCATACTACAGATCAACATGATATTCTGCAGATGATATTCATGATATAACGAGAAATAAAACGAGAAAAGCCAAAGTAAAAGTATTCATATGCTTATCAATCTATCATCCATTTACTACGAAAATAGTTCTAGTAAGAAACCATCTACTACTCCTCAATCCACCCGCACCACGACTAGTACTTAGAGGTAGGTTTTTGGTGCTCGCTTTCCCCGCTTGTTATGCCTTTCTCCCTTAGGAGAGGCATAAAAAGC